TGAAATTCGTGACTCTCCTGGGGCAGAGCTGGCCGCAATCGTGGCGCTATTCTGCTTTAAGCTCTCTTTCCCCATCATCGGATCGGCTCGTGATATTTGCCTGCTGGTGTGAATGCATTTGATATTGGTATGCCAAGGTCAACGCGCGAAACTGCTAACGCCACGGATCGGTATTTCGCTTTCGTTGGCGAGTGGAGGAAATCTCTGCCGCGGTTCGGATTGTGAAATTGCGTGCACGACGAAATTTTAAATCGCCCCGAGCGTGGGCGTAATGCGCGGGATTAGCGAAAGAAACGCGCGGCAGTGGGGATGGCGGGATTCGTTTAACATAATAACGAGCTGGAAAGTATGGCGATAATTGCCGCGGAAGGTCACGGAATTCCAGCGCCGTTTAAACGAATGGAATGCATTTCATTCCGGCCGGGTCGGGGCTCTTTCTCTCTCTCTCCCTGGAACGTAGGGAACTGTATCGCGTACGAGGCCGCGTACGAGGGTGGATGGGTGGATGGGCGCGTCCAAGGAAATGCTAAGTTCCCGTGTGCCGTTGAAATTCTAAAGTTTCGTTACGCTCGCGTCTCATGAATCACAAAGGGTTCGCAGATATGAAAGTGCAATTGCCGACTCTCGGCGCACAGTCGCGTTCGATGAAGATTTCTTTCTTTCTTTCTCTCTCTCTCTCTCTCTCTTTCTTTCCTTTTTTTTCCCTTTCTCTTTCTCCAGCCGTTCGTAACTGCGCCGCGGTGGAACAGGCTGCTGCATAAATTCACTCTTGCGCCCCGGTGTATTTCATTTCCACGTGGAAAGGCGAAGTTTATTCAAAGTGTCGGCCGTTTGCGCCCGAAACCCAGCCCGCGAGGCAATATGTTTCGACGTGGCTCTCGTCTCGACTGCGACCGTGTTCGATTCCACCTATACCTGTACAAATTCACTCTTCCCTCGGCCATATTTGAAAACTGATCTTAACCTACTTGACGATTCTCTTCTCAGTCGTCGGTGAAAAACTCAAATTAGTCGTAGCGTATACGTGTCACATGCGATACGCGTCAAAGCATTACACACAAAACTTCGGCAAGTGTGTGGAAAATCGATGAAGAACCGAGGGAGAAGGTCCTTTGCAGATCTGCTCGGTTTCGCCCCACTTTAGAGAAAATCGCTGAAAGGGGATGAGAAAAAGTTTCCTTCATTTTCTCACTCGTTTGGTGAGTTTGCTCGATGCCAGTCAACTCGGCAGATCGAACCGCAGTTTGGCGTGTCGAACAATGTTAGCTGCAATGAACAACATCAAACTGTAATTAGAGTGATCAATGCTCGATATGAATATTCGCGTTTGCTGCATTTTCGTTAAATAAACGGTGTAGATATAGACGATAATGCCAAAATAGATAATAACATGAGTAATAACACGATAATAATGTGTAATGAATGAAAAGAACTTTTTCTCTTGGTTGTTCAATCCCTATGCGCGTGTTCCTGAAATTTCAACACTGTGTGATGTAATTTGGACTTATCAACCTTCAGTTTGACGAGTTAAAATTGATAACTCGAAAATTCACGCTCCGCGGGATTACAATCTGCTTTGCCCTTTCAATTCGGAACCATAATTCCTGCCACGAATGTTACAACTTAAAGTAGTCAATCAAAGGAACTCATTTACGCGCGATTTTCGCAAAAATCTTTCGTGTATGTATATTCACGAGAGGAAATGCTCACGTGTTTCAAACGCATTCACCGTCCTTCTCTGGACGACGAATCTTCTCTCCATCGAGTGCCATTTGAAACTGATTTATTCAATGTAATTTTAAATTATCCTTTCGCTCCAGTACACTTTTATTGGCCAGTACACTCGGCAGAGGAGACGGTGTGTTAATCTAATATACCAATCGGGATTATTTCTACTCGTGGAAAGTACATCTTGCGAAGAAAGAAACGACGAAAGAATCTTAACACTTGACGTCACTTTTAAATTGCTTTCAAATTACTCTCTCGCGAAATGTGTGTAACCTCTATCTCTGTCTTTATCCTAATTCTTTCACGGATTCATCGGGCACACAGTTGCGAGCACTAAGGTCGAAACAAATTGGAGAAAATTGTCGGCTGTCGCGGGGAGCTGTTTAGCGGTCCTTCTAACACGTCGGGGAAAATGTCGGGAAAAGTATTTCGGTCTGCTCTGAAGACGGCGAAGAGAAGGATGAAAGGCGGCGGCTTAGTCGGAGGGAAATCATATTAACGCGCGGGGCAAAGGGGAGAAAAAAGAGCATTCGACGTGGTCTCTCCGGTGTCCCCTTCAATTAGCTTTTATCCTCGAATATGGGACGGTGATCGTGTTGCCGTAGTTACGTGAAATAAAGACCGGAGGCAATCTTGATTGCAGCGGGAAACGGGAAGGATTAGCCGAGCAACTCTATCGGGGTTCAAACAAAGGCGATATCGTTCTGGCTACGAGTGGAGAAGCACAACGTTCCGGCGTCCTATCCGGTGTCTAACAATTATCTACCAGCATTCGAAATTGCTCGTAAAAGCGATATTTACTGGATATGAATAGAGGGGTCGTAGAGGGGTTCGAGCTACTCGGTTATCTAACAATTATCGCGTGTACACACGCATTGTCAACGCACGGTGCGTGCAAACACTTGGCACAAGGAGTTGCAGGGATTTAAAAGCTTTCGTGCATCATCGGTATCGAACGGTGTAAACTACGAATTTTTGTGTCTCACATTATCGAACCTAATAGCGTTTAAAATTCAGCTGGGATTTCTGCAAGCAATAGCAGAAATATTTCGGATGCAATTCAAAAAATTCAATCACATTTCGAATCGAGAGTGAAGGAACTCGTGTTTCTCTTACCGGCTACGTCTTCCAGCGTCGATTTCTCGCCACAGCTGATGAAATGGGGATAGAAGGATACCATAACTATACCATCAGTCTGCGCCTGTAGACAGAAATAAAGTGATCGGGATCGTGACGCGTCTCGATGTAACTCGCGAAGAAAGCAAGACGTTATTTTCAGATAACTTACCAAACGTCGCAGCGCGTGGTCAGGCACATTTCGCGAGGAATTGCAAAGGGCGTGGGCGCTGCTGTGGCTGAAAATAACGGGCGCCCTCGACGTCTTCATGGCGACGAGCATCGTGGGCACGGAGACGTGCGACAAGTCCACCATCATCCCCAATCGATTCATCTCGAGGACGATACTCTGAAAAAAATGTCCAGTCGGTGGGATAATTGGACTCTTTCTCTCTCTTCCTCTCGCCGCGATAATGATACTCGAGATCGCGAGGTGTAGCAGTTTCGAATGTTAAACGCGTTAAAATCGATCGGGTCATCTCGCGGATTTGCCGACTGCTCGTCGGAATCGAGGAGGCCGCGGATTAACGCGGCTTAAGCCAAGCGTCGAAACGAGTCGGTTATTTCGAAACGAAAATGGCCAGGAGAATGAAAAAGAATGTGCACGAGGTCTTACGGCGGATAATTGCGGAGTTGAAACGGTTAACGACGGTAAGCGGCCGGAACCAGAGGCTTTCAGTCTCGGAGTACACAGAGCTGTACCGAGTTTCTGCTCGTTTCTCACGCCGCGAAAAAGGGCACTTTCGTTTTCGAATAAAGTTCCTTTGCCAGTTATTCTGTTTCAACTTCCATCCATGTGAGACCGAGATTAACTGACGAATGAAAAATTCCCTTCAAACGTTCTGAACGTTCTTTGCACCGTCCTCACGCGTGATCCGTGACACTTATTGCGGCAGTCGATCAATCCGACTGAAAATTCACGACAGACGATTCTTTCGACACACTTTCTTCGCGGCGAATTGTCGAATCTCATGTCTAGAGACACGTGAGACGCGAGGTTTGCAGATTGATACTTGCCTTTGCAACTCTTAGGTGTTACTTTTACCTTTCGTATTACAGTAGCCCGTAATTAAGCATCCACAGTTCGGCGACCGAAAGCAGAATTATACGTATCGCTTGTTTTGCGTGTACAAGTGGGGGGAGGGGGCGATAGTCCTAATTCCAAGAATTGTGCGGGTGCTTAACTACTGCTACTGTATTATATTTTAATCGCGTCTCGATCATCGTTATCCGTTCGAGTTTCGTTCGAGCAATCGTGGTTTTACATTCGTAAAACGGCAGCAAAAGTCGAGCCGGGTTTTGCAGAAAAGTTTCCACTGAAGGGTGGATCTCTCTCTCTCTCTCTCTCTCTCTCTCTGTCACAGACGAGAGATTTCCAATAGAGGTTCATCGAGAAATCTGCTGTCGCAACGACGGTCAAATATCGTTCCCGATATCTGACGTCAGACTTCCGAGATACGGTTACTAATAGGAAATTCGATTTTACCAGTTGACACTTGTCAGTTTCTCGCCGAGCGAACGAGAAAGAAACGTGCGCGCTTGCCGCGTCGGACAAACGGTTCCGTTCACTCGTTCGACGATCGAACGAGTTTCGTGTGTTTGCTCGTCGTGTTCCTACGAAGGAAACTCATCGAAACTGGCACGCGATCGATAAACACCGGCGGATTACGAAGCTGCTTCCCGCAGCTTGTTCCCGTCGAATGGCCGACTATCGTCCGACAACTGGGACCGTCGTCGCGTCGCTGGGACAGCGACAGCGTCATTTTCCTTCTCTAGGCTAGTCTAGACTAGGCTAGGTCTAGGCGATGCGAAAGCGGAGCTACCCTTCACGTTCCAAGAACCCTTCCCGTCTAGACGCGTCTTTCCGGAGAACGGAACGCTTCCATTAAACGTAGACGGTTCGTTAAATCAGCGTCGTCGTGGCGTTGAATCTCTCAAAATCCTTGTTTATCTCGTCTCTCGTGCGAAAGCTCGTTTCTCATTTTCGGGCGTACAATACGGTTCCTGTTACAACGGAGACCGACACGATGATACCTCGCGCGCCGGTGTCGATTCCTCTTCGTTCGTGTCTCTGGTTCGACGCCAACCAGTCACAGTTTCCACGGTGTTTGAGGGAAATTGGCCGAGCAGGGAGACGGACGAAATTTATCGTTAACTGCAGCGGTCATTATCACGAAATTAGCGAAGTTGCAGTATCTTTCGGTCGTCGTTAGACTCGCAGAGTTATCTCGCGAATCCCGAGGATTTCTCCTCGCTATCTTCCGGATATTTGCCGGAATGCCTGCACCCGGAGAGAATGCTTCGTTAAAGTAGCAACGCGATAAACTTCACTCTTCGGCATTCCCTCGCTCTCCCAGCCCCCTCTGGATTGACTTTGCGCGCACGTTCCTCTCTCTCTCTCTCTCTCTCTCTCTCTCTCT